CCCCCCCTCCCCTCTGCCTGCCCCCAGAGCTACCCCCTGCCTGTCCCTGAGGAACCCCCTGAGCCACCCCGTCTTCCTGCCCCTCAGGAACCCCTTGCTCGCCCCCTGGGCTACTCCCTTCCTGTCTTCTGAGACACCCCCCCCCCCCCCCTGAGCTACCCCCTTCATTGCCATCCTGAGCTGCTACTCTGCCTGCTGCTCAGGAACCCCTGTGTGTCCCCTGGGTTCCCCCTTCCTCTCTCCTGAGCTACCCCTGCCTGCCCCCTGAGCTAGTCCCCACATCTGCACCTTGAGCAGTTTTTCAGCTTTTTTAACTCCCCCCACACACACACACACACCCCAGGGAGCTGGGGGGGGTCTCCTGAGGTGAGTGGGCGAAGGCGGCCCTGCCGTCCTGGACACCGTTGTGCAGAGCACGGCAAACCCCACCAGTCCCTAACTGCACATAGAGGAGAAACTATGCCTGAGCCTGCGGCCCCTCCCGGCCCCGGGCACCTGCCTCCCCTCGCCCCGGTTCTTTGTGACCCCGGCAGTCTGCATGTTGAGGGGTCTCAGAGAGGAGACAGGCTGAGAACCCCTGGTGCAGGGTTACTTGGTCCCTGAAGTCGTTTCCTGAGCCCCATGTTTTTCTGTGATTGCTCCATTATCAGCTCTGGTCCCTGGTGCTGCTGCTGGCGCTGCTGGTCTCACAGCTCCAATGCCAGCCCCTCTAGCAGGGGGAGCAGCCTGTGCCGGCTGCCCAGCTCCATGTTACTTGTAGGAACGAGCAGAGGCTGAGTCGGGGGCAAAGGGGCTTGGCCGGCGTTATTGTCCACAAAGCTGAGGCCTAGTGCTGCAGCATAATGTTGTGTCCTGTAGGAGGTGACATAGATGAGGGTTACCTGAGCACACGGCACTCGCATCTTCTCCGTGGTTACAGTTACTGTCTCCCCAGGGCCGTGCCGTGCATTCGGAGAGGGCAGCTTCTGTCCCCGTGCAGTTAACATCATCTAGCCAGATACGCCCAGAGCCTTGTCCAAACTGAGCCACCCCTGGGGCTGACAGCACCGTCCCACAGCCCAGCTGCCTGCACACGACTCCAGCATCGGTTAAGTCCCAGTCGTCATCACAGACGGTCCCCCACTGCTGGTCGTGTAGCACCTCGACTCTCCCGGCGCAGTGACTCGGGCCGTTCACGAGCCGGAGCGGAATCTCCGCTGGAGGGGTTGAATCTAAGAACACCGAAAGGAAGAGACGCTCAGATTCCTGTGCATCAGATCTGAAAGAACGCCGGGGAAAGAAGTGTTTCCCGCTGATGCATTTTGCACCGTCTTGGTTGTGAGGTGGATACGGGTTACTTGAGCAACCAACACTGGCATCTTCTCCATCGTTACAGGGTTAGAGATGCAAGGGGAAATGAAGGGAGACAATGTTCTTGAACAAGGACTGGTTTAAGAGCATGTCCCTGGAAACCTTGATTATCATGAGCATCTATAGCATCATTCTTACTCCAAATGCACCTAGTGGGGTCTTTGCCCATACACAGCCCCATTCTAGTGTTATGAGTCAGCAGGGTCTGGGATGGCTCAGATAGCAAAACATCTTTCACAGCTCCAGTCCACACTCGCTACTCCATACGGTAATCCTCACTGGATGGCAGGGCTCACCCACAAGGAAGACATCCCCTCCTTCACTCAGTCATCCTCCCCGAGGCCTGCATGAGGGTAGTGCTGGTGCCATAGGGAGGCTTTGGAGACTGTGACCCATGGCCAGACTGGGTTAAACATGCCTCAGGAGAAATGAGCCACTTTCGACCTTAAGGGACAGACTAGTAGGGAATGTGGGTGTATTTGTGTCTTTCCATGCACATTGTCAGAGGAGAACTGTAGAATCAAATGGCTCCCGTCTACACCGAATTCATCTTTGCTTAAAGTGTATGGCAAATCATCTGTGAATGGCTGTCTCTTACATCACCCGAATCCCTGTAGCTAATTCCTGGTCATGCTGGGGAGAAAGAGCTTTTTGGAAGGATCCAGGACTGAATGGTGGAGAGGCTGCTGGAAAACTCCACAAAGACCTGATCCTTTTTACTTTATATCTGATTTACGCTTTATCTGGGAAAGTTTTAAGCCATGGATAGGAGATCTCCTGGCCTGTCTGCATCCCTCTTGAATGATCAACACTCAACTATAATCTATAGGCTAATTCTGTACCTACTTTTTTGCACCTCCAAAGCTCAACATCTCGGATGGCTGCCCTGGGAGCTGGTCAAAGAGATGCCAGTGACTCAGAGCAGAGAGGTCTATCGCTGGATATCTGCCTCCTCCCAGGACAGGGACCAGCACCATTCTGGGGCGCAGAGGTCGCTACAGATTCTACGATGACAGCACCCCGGGTAACCCAAGCCTGAAGCGCTCATCTTCATAATGAAGGCATTTGCTAAGAAAGAGCTGAGCTGGCTGCCAACTTAACCATTGGCAGTGATGCTGTAATGAGAGAGGTCTATCGCTGGATATCTGCCTCCTCCCAGGACAGGGACCAGCACCATTCTGGGGCGCAGAGGTCGCTACAGATTCTACGATGACAGCACCCCGGGTAACCCAAGCCTGAAGCGCTCATCTTCATAATGAAGGCATTTGCTAAGAAAGAGCTGAGCTGGCTGCCAACTTAACCATTGGCAGTGATGCTGTAATGAG